AGGGGGTCAAGAGCGCAGGTGACTCGGGAGTCGAGTACCGAGAGGGGAGGTTGGGCAAAAGAGGGGGGAGCGGGCGCGCGAACCGGTTACCGAATCAGAGCGCGCGTAATGAGCCTCTTCCGCGCGGGGGGCCGGGGAGGGGGCGAGGTGCGTATCTGATGCGGATAAGCGACGGCGTGGGAGCGGCCGGGGCGCTGGCCGCCGAGCGAGATGCGAGCGGCGTCAAGCAAAGCAAAGCCACTGCTCCAAGCAATTCAAGGCCGCGCCGCGGCGCCATCTTTGTCCTCACAGACCAGACGGGAAGCTCCTCAAACCAGGCAAGCAGCCTGTTGCAAACAGGTCTACACACACTCATTTCTTCACGTACCATACGTTGCCGAAGCTGACCCAAATAATACAATAAAACAAAACTACGGCATTCCTTGAATATAACCTGTCACGAGAATTGTATCTTTGTATTAGTTATACCACCACCACCACCATACCGTGACTCGAGTGCTTGCTATTTGACGTCGCTTTTTAATCTCAGACACTTAGTTGGAGATTTTCAAGATCAATGGGAGCATTTCATAAGTGAAATGAGGGTGCGGGATCAGCCTCTCATTCGGTCCTAAGGATGGGAATGAGGACTGGTTTGGAGAGGCAGGATCCGCGTGGAATTAATGAGAGGATCGCCGGAACCTACTATGCCTTTGGAGGCAATGAACCGCTTCGAACCAGGCAGCATGTCTAGTTGCCATGTATCGAAAAGCCTGAAGATGATGTACTGAATTTCGTACAAAAGAGACTATTGTTTATATTATAAGGCTTGTACATTTCTCTCTCTCTCTCTCTCTCTCTCTCTCTCTCTCTCTCTCTCTCTCTCTCTCTCTCTCATATATATACTCAACAAATATCTATCGTTGAATATAGGAGAAGGAGACATTTTTGATGCGTTTCCTAAGATAATGTAACAAGCATTCAATTTCATTTAAGACTTCTGTAGACTACTCGTTGTCTAACTGATTAATAATACTTATTCACTAAAACAAAATGAAATTGAAATCAACTTTGTATTTTTCACTGCCTTGTTGATTTAAATTTAAACATTCTGGAGAATATAGCTTATTAGAAATAAAATATAAATATTATCAATATATCTGAAAATTAATTAGCCAATATAATGTGTATCTGATCTCTAAAACAAGTGGCATAGTTTTCTTGAACCCGAGGTATGCCACGTTTTCCTGCGAGAAAGTTTCTTCCTAATTCATTTTCAGTATTTTTTTTAAAGTACTGTTAATTTTTTTTAGGTTATTGCGTGTATTTGAGGATAATTTCTAACTTTGGCATCTCATGTTCTCAAGATAACTAATAACGGGCCATATTGACCTGCTTCAGTTAAATCTAATTTGACGAATTTACGTTTGATGTGTTTGAACACAGAGTTTTAAATATATTTTCAAACTATTAGACTCATTAAAATTGTCTAAAATCTTCAGTAAGGTTCTATCTTGAAAGTGTCCGCAGAGATTGTCTGCCACAAAAAAGTCTTCTTAATTGATATAATTTACAATCCATATAAAAAGAAAAATGTTACTACATTTGAATTGTTAACAAAAGCCCTTGTTTTGTACTTTCATTTTTTAATCGTATATTATACTAACATTGCCATATATCGTCGATTTGTTACGACCATTAAAATGAAGGAAGGTGCAATTCATTCATTATCGTGATATTGAATCCCTTTGTTTCTTTATGTATTCCAATTAAAAGAAAAAATGCTAAAAAGATCAAGCCCACCCTTACTACATATGTATTAGCATGTTTAACTAAAAAGCAGATTCGTGAACATGACTAAGCACTTAGTTCTTTCAAAATATACTGCTGCGTGATGAATTGTATGAACAAAACATCAACACCTCCACCAGGTATATCTGCCATAGCTGGGTACCGTTCGAGGCGGAACACTGTGTCTCTCGACTGGGCTCCCGACATTTTGGTGAAGAGTAGTGCACGCAAGCGTGAAAGTGTGCAAGGAGAAATTAAGGAACAAGAATTGGGAAAGAAATATTGCGCATGGACAGTTTGTTAAGGTTCGGATCTGACCTGATGTTGACCAGAGAAACCACGAAAAAACAACCAATTAAGGTAGCCGATGGATAGAATACCTCTCTAAACAGCGGTCGAATTTGATCTAGCTATCTAGTTAATGGCAAAAATTCGGCACTGTCAGGACTCAAACCCTAGGACCTCTCGGTTAGATATAGTGCAGTGACATCTCAGCCGATTTATGGCATTCAGACCATGGTCTTCTTCACATGAGCAGTATGCCTCGCACCCCCACAACAAAATACACTATGGGTTAATCCCTTTTTCCACTCCCCGATAATTCAAGCTGAATGAACACAGAACACTTCTCGATCACCGACTGAAAGCTGATCGGATGAGGCGTGAAATCTCCGAGTGAGAACTCCGTGATGAGTATCGATTGACCTCTCAGTCAGTGCCCTTGGTCGAAGGAGGGAACCAAGGGCTCGAGATCAATAGGTTAATTCTCGCTCTGCTCACAAAGAAAATGTCATCCAAAAGAGGAGATGAACGATATGGCCGGAAAGGACGAGCGTATCATATGGCAAATAATGTCCTTTCAAGAAAACATTAATAAACTCAACTCAACGTAACCCAATGAACAAAGACTTCCTGGCGTGCAACTATGAAACTAAAGTTTCTTTTTTTATGTAACATTAATAACCTAGAGATCCTCATAAACAACACAGAATTATAAGACGATAGTAACAAGAAAAACATCTACACATGTCAACAACGATGAGACTGGCTTCGACGACAACGATAACAACGCTAACGATGACAATTACAAAAATCTTCTGTGGACTGCTACAAACTTCTAAGCATGCAAAATGCGTCTTGCAAGAGGAGATACCCTTTGTTTCAAATAATATACGTTTCTGGTACACTCCCGTCCATAATTTGGACCTCGTCTTTTGGACTGCATACAATTATCTCTCAAACAGTTCTTCTATTTACTCTAAATGCATCAAGCGATCACATAATGCATTGAAAGATGCGACACTTTTGATAATGGTTTCAGACACCAACAGCACCTTTACATATTCTGAGAAATTGCGAACGCTGATACTAAACGTCCGGAATCATTATTAGGCTCATTATATTAACACAACATTACAAAATAAATAATATTTAAGCATTTCATACGATTTCTATGTAGTACTGCTGTGGGTGAAAGAACACTAGTTTTCTCTTTATTGAATAGAACAATATCTGTTAACTAAAAAATATTATTAATAAATCGAGTAATTTATTCAAATTATTCTCAAAATTGCAATGCTAAGTAAGTAATAAGCACATACTGCTTTCATTTCAAACCGTGTGTCGATATCAATTGATTTGAAAATACTGATGATGTTCAGAAATCAAATTGGTATCCACGCAAATTATCGCATTCAGTAGAGTATCGTAACATCCCAGTAAGCGCCCTCTGCGCCGGAAGGGCAGCTACTCACCCCGTAGTTGCCGAGCACGATGCAGCCCTTGAGCAGGTTGGCGCGTAGGTTGACTCGGCTGAGCGCGCCGGGCGGGCCCGTCGCCCCGTTCTCCGCCGACGCCGGCAGCCGCCCGCTCTCCACGCGGTTCCCCTGCAGGTCCTGCACAGCAGCCCGCGCAACACGAGCGTTAGGCGGACAGTCTACGCGCTAGGCGCGGCAGCGCCCGGGAGGAGAAAGCAAGCCGCCGATGTAAGGGGTATTTTATTTCAGTCGTAAGAGGTCGCTGTCTAAAGTCGCGTGTAAGGAAAAAAGTAACACCAAAATTACTAATATATTTTGCAATCGAACTCCACATATCTCTTATTTTGTTATTGCTGAGTAGCGGAAATAAGTTCTTAAGAATTTGTGTGTCGCGTACGTGGGTAAGCGACGCATACTGAAAAGGTACAGGGAAGGATTTTTGGTTTCTCTAATTCCATAAGTAACAAGTAAAACTCGGGATAGTTGATTTTCTTCGTACAAATGGCCATAACTGCAAAACGGAGAACCTTGTCCAGGTGATTGTTTTATTGTCGCAAAATTATTCCCAAATATTGCAGTAAATGTTTGTTAGAGTATTTTATCAGAGATCATTGACAGATTATAGTTAAGTTTCTGCCGAATCTAGTGGAAAGCGACACGAGTGGTAGAACGGGAAAAGGGAGATGGTTGTCAAACTAAATTAAAGTTTCTTCCTCCTCCTCGCAATTCCCACTGAACTCCTACCCTAATTCTAAATAAATAGAAGCCATAAAAGGTAAAATACTACAAAAAACAATATTTTTTTCAATATGCATATAAATATGATTTTAAATAACCACTGGTTTCATCCCAAACCTATTTATGCTACGTAAGCATGATTTGTAAGACTACTTCCTTTTATTACACGATTTAATACAAAGAAAAACGCAACAATTTTGGAGATATTAGCGAAAACTGAAAGAAAATTCCGAGCATTTACATTCAAAATGTTAAAAAATGCAATAATAATAATAATAATAATAATAATATTGATTATGGGATTGAGGCCATAAGGCTTGTTCTTCCGCCTATGCAATACTTTAAACACTCTTTGAATGTTTCAGATTTTAAACCCCACCACTCTTGGACTATTAATTATTTTGTTTCAACCAACAAAAGTGAGCTAGTAACGTCTGTGCCAGCAGAAAGAAGAAGAAGAGGAGGAGGACAGAGGAGA